ATTGTTGATAATGGACATATGGGTTGTTTCTAGTTTTGTCTTCTTTTTTTTTGCTATTATAAACAATATTTCTGTGAACATTCTGGTGCAAGGGTTTTTCTAGGATATCAACGTAAGAGAGGTCTTATTTATTAGGTAATAAACTATTTTTCAACATGGGTATACTAGTTTACATTCCAATTGACAGTGGTAGAGTGCTCCTGTCCTGATACAACACATAGTATTTTCTGACTTTTTAGTTTTTGCCAGTCTGGTGGGTGTATAATAGTGTCTTGAAGTTTAAAATTTTCACACCTGTGATTGCTATTGAGGTTGAGCATCTTTTCAGCCACTTACAGACCATTTGAATTTATCTTTTGTGAAATGCCTATTTGTACCCTTTGCCTATTTTTCTATGTGTTGTCTTATTGATTTGTAGCGGCTTTAGAAGTATATATATATATAGGATAATAATCCTGTCAATAATGTGTTCTGACTATCTTCACACTTTGTGCCTTGTCTTTTCATTCTTTATTGCATCTTGTGATTTCTGATTGTGAGGTGGTCATTTTTTTGTTGCTTTGGATTTTTTTGGCAGCTGGCTGGTACAGGGCATCCAAACCCTTGACTCTGGGGTTGTCAACACCATGCTCTAACCATGTGAGCTAACCAGCCTGCCCTATGACGTGCTCATTTTATTCATAACATTATCGGTGAGAAATTTTTAAGACTTTGGCTGAAATTACATTCTTTCAGTCAGGATTTGCATTTGCTTCCTTCTGAAACTTAATTTACTTTAAGTTCAATATCATTTGGGATAACCTTAAATTACCTTTAGCCTTTGAGGATATTTTTTTCAGATTGAACTTTTGAGAGTTCTTCCTTCCATCTCTCTCTCAATCTAAAGATTTGGACTTACACACCAGAGAAGAGGGAATTGTACTTTTAATTCTTATTTTCATCCATCCAGCACCAACATCAAGATAGGCAAGATTCCTTGCTGTCCCCTTCTGTGCAATGGGCTTACTTCTCCCTTCATTCTTGTGGTGAGGACTTAGCCCTCTGGAGTCCCAGCTTTAATGGGAGACCTGTATTGAGACTTCCCACCTTTTGCAGGCTCTAGACTTGAGCTGTAGTCCCCTGTACTTATCAAAACAGAATGTTAAGGTCTCCAGGATTCTGTAGAAATTCCCAGAATAGAAACTAGTTTTACTTCCCAGGGTTTTTGTTTTTACTTTATTTTTGGCCTATCTGCATGCCTGCTCTTTTCGTGTTAGTTCAGCAGAGATTTATACACATTTTAAACTATTTATAATTTGTCATTTTAGGGTAGGAAGACTAGGGTAACTAGTCTTCCTACTGCTCGAACAGAAGTGACACTTTTATTTTTTATCAGCTGGCCAGTACAGGGATGGAACCCTGGAACTTGGTGTTCTCAGCACCATGCTTTAACCAACCGAGCTAACTGCCCAGCCCTGAAAGTGGCACTTTTACACGAAAGGCTCTTACAGAAATGTCTGGACATGGAGCCACACTTTAAGGAGTGAGATTTGATTAAAGCGGAAGTAACAGGCTGGGAAATATTCTCTCCCCTGTATTTAAGGCAAAGCACCATGACATTAATTTGATCTCAATGCATACTGTAAGTGAATGGGGGTAGGGTGGGGGCAGGGACATGGAGAAGTGGGGGATTCGCTTGGGTCTTAGCTGTAGCCACAGCCCCTGCTGCCTCCCCAAAAGGGCAGGAAGAGACAAAAGTGAGCAGCTCTGCTTCCTGCCACAGGTCAGCAGAAGTGGTTTGTTATCATCCCCATCAGGTCTGACTCAACTCTTCAAGGCCCAACAGGTGCCTGTTCACACCAGGAGGTGTTAATAGGGGAGGGAAGAAGTTTTAAATTGGGCAAAATTCACATTAGATTTTGATATCCAGGAAAGTCAAAGCTTTGATTGCTTCCTTCTAAAGAAAGCATCGGGAACCTAGTTGTGTAGTGAACTTCATCGTTCATATATTTTCTACATTTGTTTCTGTAAACAGACTCCTTTGACCTAGAAGTGTTGACAAAATCTATGTGCAATTTCAATACAAAAATTAGTTCTCAAAAGTCTTGCATCTGTCTACACTTCAGAGAAACAACGGCATTGTCACAAAAGCAAATGGATACTTTTATGATTACATAGGGTAGGAAGAGGTTTTTGCCATATCCAAAGATAAAAATATGAGGAGGAAAAAACCTCATTTTTACATCTCTCTCAAACAGAAAGATGAAAGAGCCCCTCAAAGAAAAGCTGATGGCCTATTCAATGGGAAATTTATAAGATGAAGATGTTGACCCTTTGATTTGTGAAAGCTCTTTACAGACAGGGAAAGAAAGAAATTCTGGAAGACAGATAAAAGACAAAGGGTAATTTATAAGATACAAGTGGCTATAAAGATGCTTGGCTACTAGTCAAAGAAAGCCATTTGAAAACAGCAGTGCTGTCTGCCTTATGCTGCTCAGATAGGCAAAGATTTAGGGTGATATCGGTCTATGGTAGCAAGGCTGTGGGGGAACAGGTGCCCGTACATCCCAGAGCTGAACAGTCATAGGGACGGGGCTTTTGACCCAGCAGTTCTTTTTTTTTTTTTTAAAGATGACCGGTAAGGGGATCTTAACCCTTGACTTGGTGTTGTCAGCACCACGCTCACCCAGTGAGCGAACCGGCCATCCCTATGTGGGATCTGAACCCGGGGCCTTGGTGTTATGAGCACCGCACTCTCCCGAGTGAGCCACTGTGCCGGCCCTGACCCAGCAGTTCTACCTAAGAATTTCATCTGAAAAAATAGTATACAGAGAAATACATGCTAATGTAATTGTATTCAACACTTGTTATCCTTAGCCACAGGCTTTGTTTCCATCAAAAGGAGATCAAATACGTCATAGTTCAACCACAATTTAGAGAATACATCTGTTAAAAATAAATGACACAAGATGTTTACACTTGTACTAAAGAGAAAAATTGGTTACACGATGTGATTCCAACTGGTATCTATAGAATAATGCTCTATTTAAACAGCATCAATTCTACTCAGAGAACCACCCTCTCGTGCTGTTTGAAATCCTTGATGAAGGGAGTGGTAAGAAGGAAGAGCTGATGCTGGATGGAGCTAGAACCCAGGCCGCCAAGAGCAAGTCAGCCTGGCTCCTCCAACCACCAAGCTAAGAATCCTTACTTCATGCTAGCCCTGCAGAATGTATCCTTGTACACGAGCCAGGAAGCTGGGCAGGGCAGGACTGGCCATCACTAGCCACACATGGGAAGACAGATCCAGAGAAGGGAAGTTAGTAACTTCCAGAGCAAGTGTCTGGGTCTTCCTGCCTCAGTGTTCTGTTCTGCTACCTCTAGCTAGAAAAGCCAGAGGCTATCAGTTTCCCCTACCCCACCTCATCTTGGCCTGTAAACTTGTCCTCACAGGAAAAAACAAAACAAAAACCAAAACAACAAAAAACTAAGTAAGCATTAGGTTTGGGGCAGGAGGAAGAGAAAGTCTAGTTAGCAGTTAATAGCATTCAGTAAATGTTGGCTATGTACTACTTTAAGCACTCTTATCTATTAACTCATTTTATCCAACACCCTATGGGGATATCTCCCCATGTGACAGATGAGAAAACTGAGGCCCAGAGAAGTTCAGTAACTCAATATTACACAGCAAGTTAAGAAGCAGAGGTTTTAACTCAAGCAACCTGGCTTTGGAGTCCAGAAAAAAAAAAAAAAATTGAGTAGGCCAGAGGCACGGGACTCCTTGTACGTATCGAGGCCACTGGCCTGGCTTGGGCATTTAGTTCCCTTTGTACCAGCTCTAAGCTCATGCCCAGCAAGGTGTCTGAAGCCTAGTTCAGGCTTCCCTACCAGCTTCTTCTCCCTGTTCCCCTAAGGCTGAACCCTACACCCCTTCCCACCCTAGAAGATATACAGGTCAGTCTGGGAAGGTCTTGGTTGCCAAGTCAGAAATGAAGGCCCATGTCATCTATGGGCACAGAGCGCTGGCCCTGACCTGTCTGGTGGCCATGCCCACTGTGACAGGCAGTGTCAGGGCTAGCAGGCTGCCATTCAACCTGTATGGACTAGTCCTGGAGGCCAAGGGAGCGGGAGGGAGGCTGGCAGTCAGAGATGCAGCCCAGCACCCTCCAGCGGGAGGCTGGAGAGCTCCTTCAACTCAGGCTTAGTGCTTTCATCCTGGGAACTCTGGGTGCCCCTTATCCATGATGGCAGTCATGCAGGTGCTTTGTGGATGCCAGAACTCCTGTGTCTATGGGAAGATGACAAACCTTCATGAGCAACTCCTTCCTGCTAGGTTCCTGATTTCCAGCTGTTGCTATTCTTTGACTCTTTTTACCCTCCTATACCTTTTCTTGTGTGGTTCTTCCTGCCTGGAATGTCACCTTTCCTTGCTGAGAGGCAAAGTCTCCCACATTGAGCCTTGGGAGATGTTGGTCTCTACCCAGGTATGGCATATATTAAGTATTTGTGATAGAAGCCACAGTTCTGAAAGGACAGAGCTGACCCTAAGGAACAAGTTCTCAGACAAAAAATTCTAGTTATCAACTTCTGCACACATGCTATGGATAGACTGTACCCCCTAAACTCATTGAAGCTTAAATTGTGTCCCCCAAAGTTCCAGGTATTGGAAACTTGGTCTCTACTGTGACAGTGTCGAGAGAGTGGGAAATCCTATTGTGATGGTTGAAAGATGAAGAGGCGATTAGTTGCAGGGCCATGCCATAGTGAATGGGTTAATAATGGTGGTTAGGAGTGTGGTTCTGAGGGCTTTAAAAGGAAAGCATGTGAGAGTCTCTCTCTGCTCCACCATTCTCACCATGTGAGACCCTGTGTCACCCAAGCCACTAAAGGAAGGCCTTACATAGTGTTCCTAGCCTCTGAAACTAAGCAATAAATTTTAACAAGTTACCCAGTTCCAGATATTGTTATAAGCAACAGAAATAAATGAATACACCTGCTTTCAGTGGATGTGAAATAATGATTTATTGAGGCTGTTCACCGTTGCCTTCCCAGAGCTTCTGGACCCAGCCCTGGCTCAGGCCCATAGAGACACCAACCCCTAGGACCAGGACAACAGCCAGCAGCAGAAGGACCACCCAGAGGGGAAGCCTTGGGTTAGAGTTCCTGCCCTGGCTCAGGCCCATAGAGACACCAACCCCTAGGACCAGGACAACAGCCAGCAGCAGAAGCAGAAGGACCACCCAGAGGGGAAGCCTTGGGTTAGAGTTCCTCCCGGAGCCTGCTGGAGAGAAGGGATTTGAAGGATCACAAGGCTGGGAGAACCCCTCCACTCTCTTCCACATCAGACCTTTGTAATCATACTGTGCAGAGCAGAAGCTGCCTTTCTGCAGATAGGGTGGACTCTGTCTATCTTTGCCTAGTTCCCCACTGAAGTTACACCATCTCCTGCCTTCACTCCGGCTGCAGCTTCCCCATTTTGTCAACATTCTTGGGGGGTGGAGGGGGTGGAGAGGGCAAGGCCTGAGGAGCCCACCCACAAGCCCTCATACCTGGGGGCCCTGGCATGGGCTCTTGCCGATAAGAATCCTTAAAGCCCACTGGCCCTGGAGAGCTCACAATGTCCTGGGGCCTGACAGTGTCGTTGTGGTGACCTGAGGATCGTCGCCATCCTGCCCAGGGGAAGAGTGATATCTTGGGCTGGTCTCCAGCCCCTTGTGGTACAGAAGCCAGGCATAGGGCTGAGGATGTATGAAAGAACAAACACCACCCCTCACCCCAGACTCACTTGCAGTCCCAGAGCTACACGTTATAGAGCAAGTCTCCAGCCCTGAGGGGTGGCAGGCAGAGGCGCTGCAGAAGAAGTAAACCTGGTGAAGGAAGAACATCAAGGCATGGGCTGACTAGGTCCTACTGGGTGGCAGGCACTGAGGCAGGGATGTGGGCTCCAGGAGCAGGGTCAAGACCATGCTGCTGCCGACCAGGCGGGCAGGGAGAGATGGGGGCGTGTTGACCAAGTCTGCGACTGCTGCCTCACGCAGACAGGGTACAGAACTGTAAGTGTTGCTTCCCACTTGGGAATCTGTGCCTTCCTCCCAAGAGTCCAAGCCTGCAGGCAGGAGCTGTGCACTTGGGAGAGCCCAGCCCGCAGCTTGCTCCCCCAGTTGCCTCTGGCTGCAGAGCTTCCTTGGAAGCCTCCATCCTCCGTTCCACTCACCCTGAGAGAGGGAATTCCCAGGAAGTGGGGTTTGATCAGGCAGCAGGACACATTTGCTGCTTTTTTTCTTTTTGTCAAAGGTGAGGAAAGATTTTTCTTTTTAGATTTGTTTTTGGAAAACACACACTGAGACTTCCAATCAAGATAGCAAAATAGACGGTCCCCAGCATCACCTTCTCCCACAATCAACCAATTTGCAACTACTAAAAAGTAACAACTGCCAAGCTTGGGCCACTAGAGCTCAGGGGAAGAGGAGGAGAGACCTATGGAGTTCATGAAGGCAGGAGAAGCCACGACGAGAGAAAGAAAGGACTGCTTTGACAATTTCGAGCCCTAGCTACTTCGAGGCTGGCCCTGGTGAGCACACAGAGCAAGAGCTGGCAAGAGCCACAGCTGTGCCCTTCCTATGAAGTGACTTGGAGGTGAGAGGGGAGAAGAGAGCCTAGGTGGCTTCCACTAACAGGGTTCCTGTGGACCCACATAGGAGCAAGGGGCCACAGATAACAGAAAAAAGGAGCTACTCAGAGGCTGGTGAGTCATCACATTGGACCAGCGCATGGCTCATCCCATGGGAAGTGTTTGGATTGTGGGTAGTAGGGGAGACGGACCCACTGGGGGAACGTTGGGGCACAGCACAGACAGCTGATCTGCCCCCTAGTCAGCACAGGACCACTCAGTGGAGACTGGTCAGGAATACAGAACTGAAGGGGAGGAGTTTGCTGAAAAGACTCAGGCCCAGAGTTTCCACACAACCCAGGTGCACCAGACCCCACAAGACTGGGAAGTGCTTACAAGGTCAATAATTAAAATCTGAGCTGCACAAAAAGCCTTTCCCGGAGAATCAGCAGCAAAGCAGTAATTTAGCTCAACCATAGGGCTCAAATGCCGCCGTTTTAGAAGTAACTGAAGGACAACAAGTTACTTTCAGTGTAGATTTTAAGTGGTGAACAGTGAACAATCCAACACAGAACTGAAAGAAAAAACAAAAACCCCACAGACCAGAGACAAAGTTCTGATATTAACCAGTAAAGGTCTAACACCAAAGAACAGCTATAAAATCTAGAAGGACTGGAAGCCCCCTGGGCTCCTAAGCTGGGGTAGGACCAAGGGCCTCAGCCCCGGCCCCCTGACACCTGCATCCAGCCCAGAGATGACCACTGAACCACCACCAGAAGCGCCCCAGGCTCCTGAGCTGGGCAGTGGGGGAGGCTCCCCGAGGGCCTCAGTCACGTCCTCCCCAAATCCGTATCCAGTCCAGCTATGCCTGAGGTGCCACTGGAAGCCCCCTGGGCTCCCCTGCTGGAATGAGGGGGGTGCAATGGGCCTCGACCTTCCTTCCTCCTGCCACCCTATCCACCTCCCTGCTGCCTTCTCCCTCCCCCCAACTGCTCCACATCTTAAAAAGTAAATTTTAAAATTTTACATTCTAATTGTGTATGTTGGGATACAATGGGATATTTTTATCTGTGTATACATTTTAGAAAACGAATTAACATTCATATCATAGTCATCACATCACCAACTTATTTTTTGCGGTGAGAATGTTAAACGTCTATTCTCTTAGCATTTTTAGTTATATGCTACACCATTACTAACTGGTCACCACGCACTGCAATAGATCACTAAAGCTTACGCTTCTAGTTGAACTGAAACTTTGTACTTCCTGATGAATATCTCCCCCATCACCATCCCTCCCTCATACCAGCCTGGAAGCAATCTAAGTGTCTATCAGGATAAGTGGATAAGGAAAATGTGGCATGCACACACTACACAGCCTTAAAATGGAAGTTTATCATTTGGAACATGGATGGACCTGCAGGACATTATGCTAAGTAAAATCGGCCACTGACATTATGCTAAGTAAAATCGGCCACCGTCTTTCTTGACCCTCAGAGACCAGTGACTGGAGGCAGAAGGACAGTTTACCACTGCTTCTAGAAACACAAAGCCAAGGGCAACTCTGTAAAGGAGGAGAAGCAGGTGGAGCTGACCTGACCCTGCACCCGGTAGGCCCCACCAACGGGTGCCCCTCATCCAGATCAGCATCTCTTGGCTCAGGAAGCAGTGCGCAGCCGAGATGAGAACAAAGCCACCCTACTCGGTGCTTACCAGTGAAGTCAGTCTATATCTGATGCAGTGACAGGCAGCGATTTAAAAATACAGAGGTCTGTGTATGAGATCTGTATCGTTCAATAGGACAAGAGTTATGCAACAGTGTCGCCGATGCTGCTATTTGTACATTATATAGAAAACCAACATACCTTAAGTTTTTCTACTTTTACCTTCTAAGAGAAGGTAGAAGTTATAAGAGAAGGAGAAGTTGCTAAGTTTTAAAAAATGCAAAGCAGGGTTACGTTGAACACATCATCATTTCTGGAATCAGAAGCGAGGCAGCCCTAGAACACCATGACCAGTCTTCACATTTAGGGTTGATTGCAGCCATGCTTGGCATTTTTCTTGCTTGAGTTGTTTAGGGGTCGCCTCCGGACTGGCCTGAGCCAAGACCTTGTGCTCTCCAGGCAGTTGGTAAAAATCAAGCCCCATCCTGAGCCCTTTGTCTGCATTAACTCATGGGGTGCTGGAGGGATTTGGTGACTAGCTTATCCCCACTTAACAGGTGGGGCTGGGCATGAGGAACACAGGTGCTTCTTACCTGTCCCCTGAGGGCTTTCTGGGAGCCAGAGTCCAGGAGGGCGAAGGTAGCAACCGTGAAGCGCTGGTGGTGAGATGGGAAGGTCAGCGCTGCCCTGTCCAAGGCTACCATTTGGGTTCTGTAGCTGTCACCCTTGAAAGGACACCTGGGAAGGAGAGAAGTCAGGGAGGCCTCCAAGGGGAGGTGAGGCAGGTGGGGAGGTGAGGCAGGTGGGGAAGCGAGGCAGGTGGGGAGGCAGCCATGGGGGCAGTGCAGTCACCTCTGCCACTCACCCATCTGACAGGATGGGCCACTGGGGATGCTGTAAGGGGTTGGCGCTGGGAGTGGCCCAGCACTGGTGCAGCACCAGGACCAGACTGGGGTCTGTCCTTTGCAGAATCCGAACCTCCACATGGACTGGTTCTCGGAGCAGCCTCATGATGGGATAGTCCCCCTCCCCGTAGTAGGAGCTGAAAGTCTTGTCTGCAGGGAGAGGTGCTCATGACCCTAGAGCAGGCTGTGCCTCAGGGAAATCGGAGCAGGAAGAGAAAGGAGGGGAAAGGAGGGGACACCGTACCCTTGGCGATCCGCAGCTCAAGCCGCAGGGGGCCAGTCTGGGTCACAGGAGCAGGTACTGGGGGTGGGAAGATGGACGCCTGGATGGGCAGAAAGTCACTGGCATTGAAGACACAGCGGACATGAAGCCTGAAGTCCAAGGGCAAGAGGGTAGGGGAGAAGACAGCGAATCAGGGCATCCTGTTTATTTAAGTGTGGCTGCATAAGGGTACCATGCAACAGGATGGATGTTACCCAAGCAGTCACCAGGTGACACACATCACTGCCAAGGGGGCTGAGGAGGCTCACCCCTGCCCGTCTCATCTTCCTGGGACAATTCAGGCCCAGGCCCTGCTCTACATGTGGGGGTACAGCAGGATCGAGATGATGGGGCCCGTCGGGGGGCTGCCACCTCACTGGCCCTGCCCTGTTCTGGCATTTGAAACCCTCGGAGCCTGACAGTCTAGGCTGGTGGGCAGACCTCGGTTTGAATGTCCTTAGCATTTATGGCCTCTAGGACCATGAGCAATTCATTTACCTAAGGCTTAGTTTCCTCCTTTGTAAAATGGTGATGACCACCGCCCTCTGAGGGCTCTTGCAAGGGCTGAGGTCATGAGATAACGTGCCTGTGTTTTCATTGTTCTTGCACACATAGTTGGTCTGCTACTGTGTCTAGTGCCACGGTGGCTGCTCATGCATACTTGGCGTGGGCCCTGCCTGGCACAAACTAGGTGCTAAATGGCATAAGTGATTCCACCCTGTCCTGAAGGCCTTTCTACCTTTACTGCCTTTCGTCTGAGGAACCCTCCTGCTTAGTCCTGATGAGCTACAGCTGTTTCCCCTTCTGTCCACCCCCTCTGGGAACCCCTGGCCACCCTGTGTCACTTGCTCCCACAGTTCTTGAATCCAAGGGTCTAAAGCATGACAGACTTGCCTCCCACCTCCCAACATAGACACCTGAACCCTGCTCTCCCAGCCCTCATGGTGGGTAGGACAGGGAGAAGGAGACACCTGGGCATCCACGTGGCACCAAGCACAGAACTTCTACAACCCATAGTTTTGTATTAGCTCTATCTGACAGGGTCAACAGGCTGAGGTGAGACCTTGCCCCTGTCCACACAGTAACAGTGGAGGCTCAAGCCAGGTATGACAAGGACGGATTCCCTGGAGTCCCCCCCACTGGCATCCTGGGCACCTGGATGGTTTTGTCACCCGAAGTCTGGGAGGCCCTGAGGTGTCTTCTGCCTCAGTGGCTTCCTAATGTTTGAGGTCAGGAGGGACAGCAGCCTCAACCTCTTCCTATCTAGGGCTGGAAGGGGACACTTTCAGCTGCTCTGAGCCGAGTTCTTGGAGAGAGAGAGGGGCAGGGCTCTGGAAGACTCCACTCTCAGGAACTGCTATTGGCTCCTACCTGAGCCCCACGTGCCAGGTATGGACAGACCCCACTTAACACTCACATCAGCCCTGGCCTCCCAGGTGTCCCCCCTGCCTGGTAGGGGAGGCTGGGAAGAGGTAAGCAGCTCCTGTGCCTCGTAGTAGCACAGCCTGGACTTGAATCCAGGCGGCTCCTGCTCTAAGCTCTCCTGTGCTCCCTCACACCCAAGCCCACAGCTCACCGGAAGGTGCTGTCCCGTGTGATGGAACCGCGTGGCCCCATTTGAACATCAATGTCAGACGTCAGCTGGTTCTCATATATAAGCTGGTTGCCAACTGCCTGTGGGAGGGGACAGCTGGGTGAGGCCCTCTGGGGGTGGTACTCAGCACCAGCCCATGGTCCCCGCTCCCACCTGGACTGTGGTGCCACAGTGGGTGACAGGGAGGTGGAAGACCACGAAAGCATCTGTCTCCTGCGTTGGGGAGCAGCTGGTGGGGGCGTAGGCCAGGTGGACATTGGCCAGCGTGATCTTGTGTGCCAAGGCTGTTTCTTGAGACACAACCAGGATGAAGTAGCCATTTCTGAAGCACTGGACAGTAGCTGGGACAAATGAGGATCAAAGAGAAAGTTCAGGGCCTGGGGTTTAGTGTCCATCCGGCACAGAGACAAGGGGATAGGCTGGGTGACAATCTGTTTTCAGTATTAGCCAGGGAGCCAGGAGACCTGGGCTCTCTTGCTTTCTGCTTAGGCCAGTGTTGGCTTGAGAAAACCCTTTACAAACTCAGGTTTTTTCTGTGGCACAAAAGGGTCAAACTATGTGCTAAAAATAGGATCATCCAAACCAGGACGTTTTAGGTCTAAAGGTAAGGATATGCAGACAATTGTTATAAGGCAACTGGGACGTGGTCAGCCCATGTAAAGAGTCTTCTGCAATCCATTCTGGGAGTCAGGCTCTCCTAGGAACAGGAGGTGAAGCAGAGTTTCAGCCAGATGGAGGCAGCAATTCTGCTGCTTCAGGATCCAGGGAACCAGGACCAGGCTCGGTGTGGGAGGTTGTACCTGTATTGCCATAGTAACAGGGGACCTCTCTGGTGTCGTCATAGCAGCAGCCAGCCTGCTGACAGGCTTCCTTTGAACTTCTCACTCTGCAGGGGATATGCCCAGAGGCCACGTGGCACTGGTCCTGGGTCAGATGTGTCCCTAGGGCTGGTGACAGAGTGGTGAAGAAAATGGCTTCTTAGAATGAACTTCTCACTCTGCAGGGGATATGCCCAGAGGCCACGTGGCACTGGTCCTGGGTCAGATAGGTCCCTAGGGCTGGTGACAGAGTGGTGAAGAAAATGGCTTCTTAGAGCCCCCAGTAAAGGGCTGTCAGGCCACCCTATGCTCTGCTCCAGAAGGCCCCAGACACAGAGAGAAGCCCTACATACCTATGTAATCTGGCTTGTCCACTTCCAGGGGTTCCGAGGTGCCCCGCTGGGGTTGAGCCAGGGTGGGAGGGGTAGGTCCAGGTCCGAGGGATGTTGACACAGGGGCTGGATGGGCGACCAGACACAGAGAGAAGCCCTACATACCTATGTAATCTGGCTTGTCCACTTCCAGGGGTTCCAAGGTGCCCCGCTGGGGTTGAGCCAGGGTGGGAGGGGTAGGTCCAGGTCCGAGGGATGTTGACACAGGGGCTGGATGGCTGGAGCTGTGCTGTGGGGACAGGGGGCTGGGAAGGCCAGAGCCTGGGGAGGTGTGGCTAGAGGTGGGATGGAAGGGCAGCGTGTGAGGAGGGGGAAGTGAGGACATGGTGAGAGGCGCCAGGTGGGAGTCCAGAGCCCAGGTGTGGTCAGGCTTGGGACAGATCAGAGCGGCCTCTTGCGCTACATCCACATGACCATCGGGCAGCACAGCTTCTATGAACACCCTCAGGTGGGAGCGCCCATCCTGCAGGTGAGAGAGAGGGCCATAGCAGCTAGGTGAGGCCACCCAGCATCCCAGGCAGAAGAGGGTCAGCGAGAGCCGAGTGGGGTGTCAGGCAGGGAGCTGGATTTGCAGTGGGTCCCAGGAAGTGCTTGTGCCTGGAACTCAGTCTCCCTCACCCACCAACCCACTGACTGATTTGGGGCTCTGGTTTGTCCCTGGTCCATAGGGGCCTCTGTAGCCTGACACTATGTTAGGACAAGCTCACCCCTGGACCCAGAGCAGTAAGCGATCCTACCTTCTCCAGCACATGGCAGCCTTTGTAGTCAGCCGAGAAGACCACGGGTTCCTGGGGCTTGGAGGTGACCCAGTGGTAGCAGATGGAGCAGTTGTTCACCTCAAACTGGTTCCCAAATTCATCTGGGGTCGGGGGAGGGGAGAGAGGGAGCAAGAAGAGGGGTCAGGGATGCTGAAGGGTGAAGTGGGAGGCAGCTGGGGACTGCTGAGAAGACTCCTCACCCAGACTCTGCACATGCCTGATGTGTGGTCTTGGGTAAGCCCCTTCCCCTCTCGGGTCTGTTTCCACATCTATAAGGGGATGGGTGTCTTAGGATCTTTCTAGCTAGGGTTCCCTGTTGGTGGTACACAGCAGCAGGCAGGCATGAAGAGGCAGGGGATAAAGGATAAATAGGGTCTCAGGCTCTGGGCTGAGTATTTTACATCATTTCTTTTAAGCTGAGTTAGCCACACTCTGTGGACGAGGCAGCTGAGAGTCGGAGAATGAGTGAGGTTTCTCAGGTGCACACAATGAGGGCCCAGAGAAGGATCTGAACTCCAGGTTTTGTAGAAAGAACTGAGCCTCTTTGCCAGGTTAACTGGCTGTTGCAGTCATTTGGGGACACCTGCTAAGTGTTCACCCACCTTGTTCACCCAGAACAGCCAGTGCACCCTCTGGATGGGGATGTGGGCACACCCCCTACACTCCTGTTCAGTGCCCATAGCAAGACTGGGGTCATTGTTTGCATCCGCAGGTGAGGAAAAAGAGGTTCAGAGATCAGGTCAGTTCCCCATGATCGCACAACTTAGAAGCTGCTGATTCAAAGCCCAGTTTCAAACCTACACCCTCTTCTCCACACCAGGCCACAGCCATTGGGCCCTGCCACACAGAGAGTGCTTTGTGGACCAGCAGGCTCAGCATCACCTGGGTGTGGTTACAAATGCAGAGCCTAGGCCCTGCCCCAGCGCTACAGAATAAGAACCTGCACCTCAACAAGATGGCCTGGTGGGTCCTGTGCACATTGACCGGGTGATGGGGAGACTGAGGCTGGCCACTCTTTTACGTCCCCGTTATGTGGCGAGGGGTGGGGGTGGGAACTGAGCCTCTTTGCCAGGTTAACTGGCTGTTGCAGTCATTTGGGGACACCTGCTAAGTGTTCACCCACCTTGTTCACCCAGAACAGCCAGTGCACCCTCTGGATGGGGATGTGGGCACACCCCCTACACTCCTGTTCAGTGCCCATAGCAAGACTGGGGTCATTGTTTGCATCCGCAGGTGAGGAAAAAGAGGTTCAGAGATCAGGTCAGTTCCCCATGATCGCACAACTTAGAAGCTGCTGATTCAAAGCCCAGTTTCAAACCTACACCCTCTTCTCCACACCAGGCCACAGCCATTGGGCCCTGCCACACAGAGAGTGCTTTGTGGACCAGCAGGCTCAGCATCACCTGGGTGTGGTTACAAATGCAGAGCCTAGGCCCTGCCCCAGCGCTACAGAATAAGAACCTGCACCTCAACAAGATGGCCTGGTGGGTCCTGTGCACATTGACCGGGTGATGGGGAGACTGAGGCTGGCCACTCTTTTACGTCCCCGTTATGTGGCGAGGGGTGGGGGTGGCCACCCCCAGGCTGGAGGGAGGCCTCCACTCTTTTTGCTCCTGCTTCAGGTGAAGGGCCCCAGTCCCTCCTTGCTGCAGCCCGTGGCCTGGGGAGGTGGGGACTGGGCTTCTGCCGGCACTCACCCACCACCTTGAAGCGGATGGTCCGGCCCGGCCTGGGGGTCACCAGCAGCTGCATGCCTTCCATCCCACAGTCATAGCTGTGCTGGAGGCCTGAGTGGCCAGGCTCAGAGTGTAGCTGCTGACCCAGCCCCAGGCTGGCCACCAGCAGTAGCAGGGCCACACAGTGACCCCAGGCCATGACTGAGACTCCCGCCACCAGCTACAACACAGATCCCCACAGTAGCTCCTACCCCCTCGCCTCCAGGGTGGAGCCCAGGCCTTATATGGGGGAGGGCGGCAAGTAGGAGCCTCTAAGGGCAAAGGGGGCCCACCTGAGGGAGCACCCACCTGGCCACCAGGGGCTGTGGTGAAACTCTTGCCCCTAAGGCAGGGGAAGGCACCCTCCCACCCTGGGGCTCTGAGGGGCTGTTCAGAAAGCTGCCCTTGACCCCTCGCCCAGGCTTTCTGCCTCACGTGGGCGGGTGATGCCTGCTCAGCAGAAGTGATTTTGACTGTGGAGGAGGGAAGGAGGGGAGGGGAGCGGGGAGGGGGCTGTCTAGGAAAGGTGAAGCTGCAGGTGGGCTGTGGGACGAGCTCCAGAGCTGGGAGGTGGCCTGCAGGCCGGCTCCCTTCCAAGCCCGTCCCCATCCCCTTCCTGCCCAGCCAGGCTCTATCTTGGTGCCTCAGAACCACTGGGAGCTGCAGGCCTGGTTAGTTTACTCCCCACTCCTCACTGGTGAGCAAGACCAGGAGACAGGGCCCCTGCCCTACCAGCCTGCAGCGGGACGGGGCCCCAGGGGAGGAAACAGACTAGCTGCACCTCCCAGGCTTCTCCTGAGGATTAAGCCAGTTAATGAGATGATGGCTATTACTAAAAACAGTAAGGAGATCAGACAACTAAATGTAAAGTGGTGTCCTGGATGGGATTGTAGAACAGAAAGAGGACATTAGGTAAAAGCTAAGGAAATGGACTTTAGTTAATAATGTATCCACGTTGGTTCATGCATTGTCATACATGTAATGTACTAATGTAAGATGATAATTATAGGGGTGTAGGGAGAGTGAAGGAAAAGGGTCAGGGCCCCTCGGATGTTCAGCATTTGATGTAAATATGCACGTGCGCCCAGGTGTTCCTTGGCTGTTGTCTCATGTAACTGCGCATGTGCACACAGGTGTCCTGGGTTATGGACTTGAGTATAAAGGACGAGCGGCTCTCATCCACAAGACCCCCACCCCTGGGATGCCCCCTGGGGGCCCTCCACAGGGAGGTCACTACTCATGCTGGAGGCTGCTGCTCCCAGGGCCACCCGGTCTCTCTGGGAGGCCCCCGCCACTGCCGTAGCTGCTGCTGAGGACTGAGCTCGTGTCATCTGCCAAAGGCTCCAGGGCTTTTTCCCAACTACCTAGAGCGTTGACCTGGTGTGTGAGGGGCCTGGTGACCCAGCCTGCACAACGGGTTTGAAGGGTATGTGGGCCCTCACCCCTAGCCTGGACAATACAAATGAAAAACTTAGTGTAACTAAAATAATGTAACATTTTGGCTTTAATTATGAATTGCCTCGCCGTACAATTGGCGTAGCTATTGCTGTAACCTGACAATTGGCTACATCGGCAGGATTCTGACAATGGCCCTAATCATACAAAGGGAAACTGGGTGTGGGGTATATGGGACCTTTCTGTACTATCATCTGTTTTTCTGTACATTTTGAACAGTTCTAAGAAATAAAGTTTATTAAAAAGAATGCCCCATAGTCGGCAGTGTCTACTACCTGCCAGGCAGTCCTAAGGCCTCGCTCGTGTTCGCTCCTTACAGCACCCGACTGTCCTCTGAGGGAGGTCCTGTCACCGTCCCCATCACATGCGTGGAACTAATTCCTGCAAGTGATTAGCCCAGGGCCCTGAGCTCAGCAAATGTTGGGAATTGTGCATTATTATTATACACAGCAGCTGGGACAGCATGTGGCTTGCTAAAGTTCTAGTGTTCCAGTGCAGAGTAGGGTGACTACAGTTAACAAGAAGATATTGTATATTCCAAAATAACAAGAAGAGAGGAATTTGAATAGTCTCACCACAAAGAAATGATAAGTGTCTGAGGTGATGGATATGCCAATTACCCTAATTAGATTATTACACATTGTGTACATTTATTGAAACGTCACACTGTACCCCATGAATATGTACAATTATTATGTGTCAATTAAAATAAATTAAAAAAAAAAAAAAAAGCTAAATAGGGCCTGGAACATAATAACAGTGTATGTTAAAAAAAAAAAAAAAA